CCTGCAGGGCCAAGGATCCCGGCCCTCCGCTGTGCTCCACGGGGCTCAAGGACATGGCCCGTGGAATACGCAAAAATGCGCCAGCAATTTATGAGGATTCCCCAAAATTAGGGGTACCTTTAGAAGGTTTTATAGGGGATGTATAGGGATAATGGAAAAGAAAATGGAAACTACTATTTAGGGCTTAGGGTTTCCCAAAATTAGGGGTACCTTTTTGGGGGTTCCTATAATTAGGATTGTAGTAACTGAGGGTCTATATTGGGCCTCCCCTATTTGGGGAATCTACCTTATGGTAATCTAAGAACATGATAATGTGACATCATTGAATATATACTAATATAGTATGAGGTTTAAAAACTTAAGGCCCTGGGTTTTTGGGGATTGCACTGGGCTTGTGAGACGCAAGACTGCGGTGGGGTAGCGTTGCAAATTAGACTTCACACGAATAAGCGCCGTTGGCTTAGAAAGCACATGCAGAAGGTGTTCCAAGCAGGGGCACTGGTAACCTGACGCGTTATCATAGAACAGTCTTTTGTTGCCATGCAAAAACGTTTGGCGGGATGGGAGCTGTGATTGTTGCCCACAACTGTTATGACTGAGCCACGATTTGGGAAACACGTTGTAGGTGCTGGCACGTCCGAGCCATGATGTAAATTATCAGTGCCAGCCAGCCGGTAGCCAATTCTAGCACTGCGTCATCTCACTTTTTCTCTCTTTTGTTGTGCCAAGCTGGCGTAGTCCGCAACAACTGTACATGATCTGTGTTGAACTTTTCTAGTGCGGTATCTCATGTCAACCCTATACATAGGGTATGTTTGCGTGGGAAGTGTGCTTTTCCTTCGTCTCGGAAGACTGGATTGCGCGCATAGGAGGAAAGAATTGAAGGTCATTCTGCTTTAAGCTCAAGCTAGTAGGTGCCAACCGCATGGGATCTGAAGAAGCTTTGCAGATACCAAGAGGATTCGTCATTCGACCTTCTTGGCGAAGTGACTGCATCACACAAAGCTTGAGACTAGACCCGACCTTTTTTGCTGCGCTTTATTTCCTTTGAGAGCTAAGCATGGCGGCCAGGTGCCATCTAGTTGGGCTGCCTCATCGAGGACCATTACGGGGCATGTCCTTGCTAGGCCATTCTCGGTTTCTGGAACCGGTGAGCGCCCTCCCCTGATGAATGCCTTGATGGCCAACATGTTCAAACCTCAAGGCTTCACGAAGACTTCGTGCAACAACACCGATACTGTGCGATAGAGGGTTGTTGATGCGGGACTCAGTACGCAGCAGATGACAACACATACTCGAGCGCAAAGCAACGGTTGTCATCATCAAAATTGCTGGATCTCGGCAGCCAACCAAGAGGGCGACGACAGTTTGCTGATGCCAAGGGCGAGTTCTTAGCACAAAAAGGAGTTGCCTTAATAGAAACAGAACGGCGGCGGAGGATCCTGATGCTGCTGGCACGTGATTATGATGATGATGATGCTGATGCTGACGACTCTCGTGATCTGTGAAAGACCAGCAGCTAACATTCCTGAAGTGCTATGCGACTTGGATGTGGATTGTTTCAGAGAGTTCTGTTCGATTCCAAGACTTGGGCAAGGCAGGGCGCCTAAATCCAGAATTCTCAAAGTCACCTTGTCAGCGCAATGAGACCGCATGCACCAAAAAGGATGCCCTTACAAAATACACGTCTTGATGTTGCGTGCTGCAGGCCTCAGCACACAGAACTCAAGGGAACACTACGCTCTATAAGCAATGGAGGCGCAACGTTTTCCACGAAGGTCGAAGGCTCGAAGGCATGGGAGAAAGAATCTGAACGCAATGAACATCTCAGAGGCAACGAGGCAAATCATTCCTCGGCGCAGTCGTGACGGCCGACATCCTGACAGACGGCCTACTTAGGCCTGACGGCCGGCGTCTTGACGGACGACCTACCTGCCACTCCAGTGCAGCCACTTGGGCTTTGGGACATTAGAGTCTTAGGGTTTAGGGCTTAGAGGTTAAGGGTTGGGAGTTCATGCGTGCAGGGTCTGGGTCTCAGGCTTCAAGGGTTAGAAGGGCTTAGGTTTAGGCTTTTAGGTCTTGGGTTTAGGCTTCAAGGGTTAGGCTTCAGGGTTTAGGGTCTGGGACTCAGGCTTCAAGGATTTAGGGTTAGGGTTTAAGGTTTAGGGTCTAGGTCTCAGGCTTCAATGGTTTAGGGTTTTGGGTTCGGGTTCCGGGATTTGGGGCTCAGGATTTTAAGGGTTGAAGGGCTGAGCGTATTTCGAGGTCACATGTTCAGGATTCAGGGCTTAGGGGCTTCTAGGGTTAGTGTCTAGGGGTTTCGGTCCAGGGAGTGAGCATTGAGATGTTTAAGGCTCAGGGGTTTGGGGCTCATGGTTTAGGGTTGGACGCGGGTATAGAGTTTAGGGTTAGAAGGCATTTAGGTTTTGAGCAAACAAGTGCAATCACATAAAATATGCTACCATCAAATTGTAAACACCATGTCAGTACANNTGTACTGACATGGTGTTTACAATTTAATGGTATGTAACATAATAATGCCTCACACTAAACACTGTGCTAATACATTATAGGGCCGAAGGCCCACGGGTTAATAGGGGCTTAGGTTATTAGAGTCATGGGGTCAGGTGTTTAGGGTCCTGGGGTTTAGGCTCAGACTCTTGGGGTTTAGGGTTCAAGGGTTTATTTTGGGGTCAGGGGTTCAAGTGTTTAAAAGGCTTCGTAGGGTTTAGGGATTTAGGTTCTTAGGGTCAGGGGTTCAGGTTGAAGGTTTTGAGCAAGCAGCTGCACACAAAACAAAAGCATAGCTATACTTAGTGATATAGTAGCTCACATTGTGAAAATAGGAACCACCAAAAAAATATTTAGGGTGTCCACCTCAGAGCCTAGGTAATGTCATAGCGCATATGCTGGGCCGTCAACTTGAGTAGTTATGCAGGCGCTGCTACACGGCGCTTTCATTGTGGTTGTCATGCGCTGAACTTCTCAGGCGTGATCCGTATCGGAATTGAGGTCTGCTGCAACATGTGTTGTCGATTTGCCCTTCATCTCTGCAGAATTGCGCATGACCATCTAGCAAATGATAGGACAATGAGGCGCACCAATGTGATCATTAGACCCGCCAACAAATAGCTGCCCTGTACATGTCTCTGACAATCCTACTCGTAACCCCAGGTCATCTACCACTGAACCAACAAGTGTTGCTGAGTGCCAAAACAATTCAGCACATGCCTTGAAGACAGCACAACTGCTACTATCCCTCCTCCCGCCCCCAGTCCCAAATTCCACCAGTGCATTGCGCAGGAAGAAAGGTTGGAGATCCAGGCGCGGGAATCACGACCAAGCAACCACTATCTGTGTTCGTTGCTGCTTCTACAATCACTACTACGAATTCACCTGGTCTAGGAAATCTCGTGCTACTACATTTCCTGTGCTCTTTTTTCATGCCGCTTGCCTGGTCTCAGTCTGAGCTGCTGCAAACCGAGGTTTGCTGCACAGCGAGGGTGCCTGTGATCGGCTGGCAGCAGCTCCGTATGAAGGCACAGCTCTTGCTCCGCAAAGATCAAAAGAGGTTTCTGGCACTGCATGCGGGGCAACTGTTCAACAGCAAGCCCGGGCTAGCCAAAGAGCGCGCAGCAAAGAGGTGCTTGACATCAGGTTTATGCATGGCGCCCACGACATGTTCACATGGCCGAAACTAAAAAGGCTGTACATGTTCGGATGTGGGAAAAGAGCACAGTCACGCAAGACAAACAATGTTTACAACAAGATTTCATCAAACAAATGGCAGTTGACCACTTTACTCTTCATTCAAACAATGCAAGACGGCGATGTCCCCAGCACGGTGGATCTGCCAGGCTAGGAATTTGACACCAGAGAGTGGCCAAGCCATCTGAACAACACTGGTTTGCTCTATTTAGCTTCACCCCATACCTGACCTGATTGACTTGCGAATAGTGATGACAGGAGCACATCAATTGTGATGCCAAATGTAAAAGACTTAAATACCTCATCCACCCGTGCGGCTTAACTTCGAGGGGGAACTTCGATCGAACCCCCAAAAACCTTTGGTTGGCGAAAGCCAAAACATAGACTGCATTCATCTTCTTCTGTTGGCCAAATCAGCAAAAAGCCCTCAAAAAACTTAGACTTCGAAGATCCCAACCTCTGAGGCATCGGAGTCTGCCCGTGTCGACTGTGCGTTTTGGCCTGCTGCATTGCTGGGCTTGCTTGCTCTTACAGGACTACGTGACTATAATGTTTTGGATACCTGCTTCACACAGGTACTGGAGATATCTTGAAGGTATTGTTGAACCTCATTGATACCATCACTCGGTCCAATCTAGCACTTCTAGCCAGCGCTGCTCATCTCTACATGGCGTCATCAACGTTTTGAAGTGCAGTGACTGTAGGCTGCATTGAGGGCTTTTCGGCGTTGAGGATGTTGTGCCTCCGTTTCCGTCTAGCGCCTTGTTTGCACGTCCGGGAACTTCTGCGTGGCGGTGGAGCACCTTTGGCATCGTGCAGAATTATTCAAAGCAACCGTGATTAGGGTGTGGAATCATGTTGTCGCATCGTCTTGGGCTGCAGGCTATAATGAGATGAAAAAATGCTACGAGCACAACGCTGTAACTCACCTGCCAAGAAGGAAGCCACATGAGCTATAATCTGAACTCCTAGTATCCCCCTTAATAACCCATTTAAACTTTCCCGAAATTTGACTCCACGTTAAGGAGTTTTAGACTACAGCTCACATCATTCCATTGTCATGCCAGGCACTTTTACATTGCCCACTAATGCGAGCGTGATGGCTACCTGGAACGAGAACGGCAGCAGAGGGAGCAAGCTGGTGTCCTGCAGATCTCCGAGATCAACGTTTAGGGTTCAGGGTTCAGGGTTCAGGGGTTGAGGGATCACGGTTTAGGGATAATGGAAAAAGCATGGGAAATTACTATCTTGGGTCATTAAACTTACCAGCAGAACACCTGAAAACACTTTGCTTTGAGCCAGACAGCCATGCTCGGAAATGACACCCCCCACGCATCTAAGTGCAACGGAAAGGCGATTGCGAAAGAAAGCTAGTTATGACTTCGTCAAAAACTAGAAAATTCGTTCATTCCGAATGACTGGCAAAAGTAGAAATGAATTGAGCATTGCGCGCGGTCATCACCGACTAGTGACTCTTACTGGCCCGCTAGGGCGGCGACAGCCATTGTAAAAGCGCTTATTCATGCAAACAAATATCAACTGTTCAGCTCAAACTTGGCCCGTACTGAAGACGTGGCCCCCAAACATGTCAGTGCACTAGGCGACGCAAGTTTACTCTAAAGCTGGCTCTGCACATACCAGCTCGTCAGAGCAGCGTAACTGCCCGGAGGCTCAATAGATGACGTGGATTATTCTCAGATGACCACCCTCTCGCCATCATCATCCTGGAGATAGTGATTCCAGCCGCGGAGGAACCAGATCACCTCGTGGGAGCCAGCTTGGACAAAACCATTTGGACAGTTCGCCCATGGGACAACGAGATGTGTGTAATCATCACGAATTGTGCTCACACTGTTTCGGGCACACAAGGCTGCCCAGATGTAAGCGTCCACACGATCATACTCAGCCGGCAACACGGAGTGCGGGTCAAACGAGTTGCTCAAGCGGGTACCATACATTCGATGATCCTGGATCATCCTGAACATCATCGTCAGCGCGCATGCCTGTCTCGCAGGCGTGACGTTGTTGGGCCTTGTGTCTGCATCCGTCGGGCAAGCCTTTGGAATGATTGGCAGGTTAGCCTGGAGCGTGACCGCCTCGGCAGGGGCCACCGGCTTAGCTGGAGGTGGCATCGGCTCCCCACGAAAGGCAACAAAACTCCCATCGGAGCACGTTGTACCTGGCACCATCTGAGACTGGCCAGCCCTTTCGCGCGGCGGCAAGGGAGCAGCGGCCTTTGCAACGGCGGCTGACTTGGCTCCCAAACCGACTTCGGTGGTCGCAGCCTTTGGACGAACTGGCGAAGCAAGGGTAGCGCCAGTCGGAGGTGCCTTCTTTGGCGGTTGCTCCTGGATGCGTGCTGTGGCTTTTGGTGGAACGTCATGCGATGATGCTGTCCCGGAAACATTCTGAGAAGTCTCAGTTCGGACTCGTGCTCCCAATTTCTTCTGTGCCACATGCTCTGTAACCATGGGTTTTGGAGCTGGAGATCTTGAGCGCGTGGCTTTCGCTCGCGGATGGCTGACACCAGGTGGCATCGGCTCATTGCGGGGCATTCTTGCTCGGGTCTCAGCGTCGAAGCGGCCATAGTTTCCAGCACGTCCTGCTCGGAAGGATAGGATCCAGGGTCCCTCCTTGGAAGCTGGTCCTTCGGCGGGGTCTTCGGTTGGGTGACGCCGATGCTGCAGGGGATGACGCATGGGTGCGTGGCGCAGGTGCGAGTGTCTGCCTAGCTCTGTGAGTAGTCTCGGCCACCAACTGGCATTGATCCGTCATAGTCCCTGCCACGCCTTTCGACGAGCACATCACATCCACGACCATCCACGACCCCTGGTGTATGCTTGGTTGAACTGCGTTTGGTCATCGTCCATCCTGTAGTGAAATCGAGTGTTGGCCATTATGGCGTTGAGTTGTCGATTGCTGAAGGTAGCCAACCCTTCAGGGATGCGAACTCCTTCGCGCACTCTGAGTTCGGGCAGCTTTTCGTTTGGCTTTCGTGCGTGAGCTGGTCCCTGAAGTACCTCACCAGGTCATTCATGACCATCATCATGTCGCTGGAGTCCGTGAAGGAGAGGACGGTGCACTGAAACAATAGGACCTGGAAAACGGTAGCCTTGCGGAACGGAGTGTTGCCTGAATGGTGATGACAGCTTCTTCAGGTTTGTAGAAGCCTGATAAAGTAGCGACGGTTGAAGTCAATGGCCACAGCTCCATCGGCCCAGGCAATCGCGAACCGGGCGTTGCGCTGACCAGGCTGAGCTCGTCCAATGTTTGGCGCGCGGATGCGCTGAAACACCTCAATCTGGTCCAATGTCGTTGCATAAAGGCCAAACCTTGCGTGGTTGCAGGAGACTTCAATGAGTCAGAGCGAACCATGTCCTCGAAGGCATCAAGAAGGCAACCTGATCGGTGGTTCATCATCATGTTGAGATCGCTCTCGTAGGACATCGGGTACTCTTGACCATGGTTCTCGATGACCGTCGATGCAAGTGTGCCATACCGGCTCGTTAGAGAGGCAGTTTGCAAACAGCCACTAGCAGTAACCATAATCCGCACACCCTCCGAAGCTGCCATCTGGACGTCCACCACGATCTCCAAGTCGGCGTCTTCATGGACACCTTCGTTGTCAAACCTTGCCCAATTTGGCTGTTGAGAACATGATGAAAGGTCTGACAGGACTTCCGTCCGTCGAAAGGCCGCGAGGAAAGAGGCCATGCGTGATGACGGAGAAAACGCCATCTTGGGAATCTCCTCGAACTTGGCGAGAAGGTGACCATCGAACCCCGCTTGTGGACGGGTGAGAATTGATGGTTCCCAATTCACGGCGAGGGTGTAGATGTCCTGGCAAACAATTAGTCACGAGGTCCAGATTCTGATCATCCGTTATGAGATCGCTCGAGTGCCCCTGAATGGCACGAATGCGGCCAATGAAAATCCTGACGCTGGTCTCCGAGATGAAAACCTGGAACCGAAAATTCTGAACGCTCGGTCGCTCTGAGCCTGTTCCACATTTGCCCAAGCAAGTTCCTCCACGCAACGCTCTGGTCACTGGATCTGAAGACCGGGCGCGGAGCGGAAGCGCTTTTGACGCACCAGCCTCTCGGCCAAGAGGGGCAAAGGATCGATCACGTTGAACCCCGCGTCGATGACCGCCTTGAAGTGCTCTGACATCCCGAGGTCATCTCGCAGCTGAACCACCCTGTGACAGATGTCGTGCATGGCGCCTTGTGTGTCCCGAAGCTTATCACGGCCACATCTCGGATGAGGTTGCCCATCATCTGTGCCCAGCCCCGCTGTCGGGAGGTCGAACTTTACGCCAAAGCAGGAGTACCATTGCTTGACAAGCTCGGGCCTCCACATTCGGCATCTTGCTGCGGAGGTGGAGCCACTCCTGGTTCGGGATGAGGCTAAGGAAGAAACCGAGGTGATCATCCGTCTCGGTGGGCTCGACCGCAGCCTTGACGACGTCCTTGACCCACGCCTGCATGCCAGCACGGCGATCAGGATCGGTGGGGCAGCCTTGAAGGCAGATGAGCACCTGAGAGGATGAGGCAGCCATTGTCTGGCGCTGATCGGAGAAGGATGCAAGGGAACGCGGGTTCGAGCGGCAGTCGCTGCTGGGACAGCACGGGAATAGTCCTGCTGACCTTGCGACCTTGGTTGGGGCTCTCTAAATACTTTGAAAATACTTGTGAATTGTTTTTGCGATGGCACGATTGTAGGATTCACTGTCCGTAAGACATTTGGCATGTTCATGATCTTTCCTACATCTTTTGCCATCGAACTCATGTCTCAACTCATGACAATCGGTTGCAAATGTCCATGGTTTCTTAGTTTCTTGACTGGTGTTTCATGGAGGTCTGTACGTCCAAATGTGCAACCATCACAATGGACCTTGATTAGTTTGTTCTTGTCAATCCATTTGTGAACACGAGTCCAATTCCAGTAAACACAGGATCCAGGCCATTTGACGCAGGTGAGCGGCTGACAGGCCGTCTGCGAAAGATGCCCGTAGCTTGTTGAACTTCTTCCTGGCCTCGTACAATTAGTCGCGGTTGCCATCCAAAGAGGGGTTAACGTGCGACCAAGCGGGACCTCCCGCCCAGACCAGAACTGGGTTACGTGGTCGACGACGATCTTTGCATCGCGCTGTGATCTGCTTCCAAGTGTCCGGATTGTTGAGATCATCTTGTTCGGCTATACGTAACACTTCACATTCGGGGACGTCCTTCTCAGCTCCCATCAGCGAGTCGCTGCTGCAGCACACTTCCACGGCCCTTTTGTGTTCAGCTTCAGGCTTTCTTGCCGCGGCATTGGCCCCGCGGGAAGAGGCAGCGCCAGCTTTCCTAGACGCAGATGATTCTCTACGCATGGAGGGAAGCTTTCGCGCCTTGTTCCACTTATCCGCCCTTGTGAAAGGCTTGGCTAGGATGCCTGCAGCTTGAAGGCATGTAGTGACACAGGCTAGGACATAATGCTTTCTTCTGAATTGTTCGGCATTCCATCCGAGGTTTATCCGTTGGGTTTTGTCAGCGTGCCGCTTGCCTGATTCATAGTAGCCTGGTTGTCCTCAAGAACGACGGGTTGAATCGAACGCGGCACAGCAACAATGAGACCATAGTCATCAGGTTTAGCAATGGGATCACGCCTCTCAAAGTGGTAACCCCCCCGAATCCCTGATCCCAAGTATATCTCCATGTGAAGATCGGCCTCCGCTCTCGCTTGGCATCGATACTCTGACCCTGATCTACGATATATACGCATGATCGTTTCATATGGTTGGTCAGGCACGAACGTTCCATTGGCAAGTTCTTCCCAGGCAACGGCTTCTTGAAGGTGAATCCAGTTGTTCTTCTGAACGACCCATACGTCTCTTACAGGATGGGTTTCCCTTTCTACAGGTGACTTGACGTCGTTCTTATTCGAGCAAACCTCAACAATCCTACCATCAACGAGTATGTGATGTCCTTCATGTTGAATGACGAAGTGGCCTTCTGGGAGTGCGTTGATTCGGTATTCTGCTGCGCCTTATCTCCCCCCACCTGCTGTAGGATCCCCCATATTGCGGAAGCAGGTAATCCCAAGGCACGGAGAGAAACGTTGGCGCAGACTGCTTCTGCCTCCGTAGAACTCAACGCAACACTTGT